TGAATGATATGGAAAAGTTTCCATGTCAGACACGGCCTCTCGGGGACTCACCTACGATTCGATCACCAGCACCCACTGCAAACGACTGATCAAGTACGCACCAAGATGAGTGAGTACTATCTCTCATAGGATATCTCGATATGAACACCGCCGCCCTCGGCGAAACGTGCCTAAATACCCCAAAACTCCATCCGTCTATGACATACCCCGTTTCCCATAAAACAAAGCGCCCTTAGTGACCCTTACCCATATAACCCGGGGCTAAATAAGTAAAAACACCAAAATCGGTGTCGTAGATATGTACAAAATGGCTCCAACACGATGTCAAGTCTCCAAGTGAACCACGTTCACTACGGTCGACCAAAAGGCATCTCGCCTTGCTGCTGCCCCTGTCCCTGGTTCTGTACACCCAAAGACCTCAGCCGCTGCGAAAGCAACCCCTCCGCAGCGCCACCAGGACTCCCGCCGCGCCCAGAGGACGGCGCGAACGCGTTGCCGCCGTACCCGACGTCCCCCTTGCTCAGCTTCTCGTACCTCGCAATCTGCGCGTCCCAGCCGTCCTTTGTCGTCGGCCTGCTCGCCTGCGACGACTGCGGCGACAGGACGCCGGGCGTCGTGGTACTCGTCGTGTTTGTCGTGTCGCTGACGTCGCTCCCCAGACGGGCACGCCCTCGCCCCGAAAGGGCAAACGGCACCGCTTCCACGGGCTGATTATTGTTTCCCCCGCCAAAGCTAAAGGGTGACGGTGACTGCTGACTGTACCCCGCGGCCTGCGGCGATTGCGAGAACCCGTCTGATGTACTCCCACCATCCGCCGCGTACGGGTAGGCAGACGGAACCAAGGGAAACCCGGCACTCCGCCTCCGAAACGCCTTTTCGGCCGCGAGCGTCGCCGCAGGTCCGCTGTGGCTGCTCGACATGGGCGGGTGCATCACGCGGATGGGCTTGTAGGGCGTGAACCGCGGCTCCGGGTTCGTCGTCTCGTTTCGGAGCTTTTCTTTCCCGTCGGGGACGCGGTTGGCAAAGACGATGCGGACGCTCTTGTAGAGGTAGAAGCGCCCCTTGGACGGGCAGCAGATGTGGAGGTGCACGAGGTACCGCAGGATCGGGCGGTCGGCGGCGGCGGCGGCGGCACCGGGTGCGTCCTCTAACCCGGGCGTGTTCCCCTCCATAATGGGACCCGCGGAGTAACTTCGCTGCCGGATAAACGTCTTGGTCCCGGGTTCCATACCGGCCAGGTCGTAGGGCACCAGGAATAGCTTCACCGCCGTCTTGTTGGGGTTCTTGATGACGATTTGGATCTGCCCCTTTTCGGGGATGCGATAACTCCCGCCCGGCGGAGCTCTCGGAGACGCCGATCTCCGTCTGGCCCGCTGTGCGGCACGATCCGAGGACCCGTCCGCGGGCCCATCCGCCATGAGGACGTCGTCTTCGGCAATCTTCTTCTCGACGTACCGGCTTTGCATCTTCCTCTTGGACCGCTGTCCCTCCTCGGGGTTGGGTAGACCGTTTTCCAGGTCAATCTGGCCGACGTACGGGCTGGGGCCGTCTTCCGACCGCACACGCCCTTGCGAAGCTCCCCCGTAGCTGTAAAACACGGCGGGAAACGGCAACGTCACATGGGCGGGACACCGCAGACTGGATTTGCACTTGCCTAGCCCCAGCACGCCAATCTGCGCAAGAAAGTCGAGCGGCTTGGACGGGGTCGTGGACATGCGGCCGCGGAGGATGCTCTCCTCGTACGACCCGACCATGGAGGCGTGCTGCAAGGGGGAGGTGTCCGAGTTGAACGACGGCCGCCTGGGTCTCAGAAACGCCGCGGGCGTCTGCGGCGACGAGGCGGCCCCAGGGAGCGGCACCTGCGGGATCGACGTGAGGGAGCGCCGCGGCTGGTGCGCCTGGTACGGCAGCGCCGCTGTGCCCCGGTGCGAGGACTGCCTGGGCGAGGGGAACGCAAAGGGGGACGATGTGACCGAGTTCAACGTGTGTCGCCGCAAAGGGCCCGCGAAACTCGGTGAGCCCCCGGTAATGGCGATGCTGTTGAGCGGCGCAGACAGGTCGAGCTGGTCGTTGCTCTCGGACTGGACCAGCGGGCTCGTCGGCGGCTTGTAGACGAAGCTAGACGAGAATGAGGAGGACAAGGAGGACGGGACGGATCGGTAGTCGTCATTCGTCGCCGGAAACGGCAACCTCGTCTCGAACTGAAACGGGGAAAAGTCCCGCGGTGGTGACGTTGCGAGCCATGAATTGCGCGACGCCAAGAACTTGTTGGTTGCGCCATGCGTCGTCTCCTCCTGTGTCGTATCCTGCTCCTGCTGCTGCCGCGACCGCGGCCTCGGCTGGTGGTCCTCTGTGAAGTCGCCGCTGTGCAGAGCAGACCGCGGCCTCTGTATGCTCAACCCCTCGCGCAGCCGCTCATCGTCCTCTCGCGAGCCGTCGGCGGCTGCTCTGTCCGGGGTGATGCTCGCCGGCGGCAAGAGGCTGTTGTTGGACGAGCTCGAGGGCGGCCGGGGGCTCTTGGGCGTGCTCGGGCGGGGCAGGTTGTTGAAGAGCGACTCGAGCTTGGTGATGTTGTGAGCCACCAGATCGGTCCTGGGTGATGCGACACGGCGGTTCGGGATCCAGGTCGGGCTCTCCCCGCGCTTCAGCCGTTCAATCAGCTCGGCCCTGTCAGAGGTAACTGCGGCGGCAGCATCGGCGTCGGTGTCGGTCTCGGGTGTTGACGGCCTCGTCGGGCTCTCGACAATGGGACCTTCGCATAGCTCGGTTCGTATGCTCTCTTCAGAGAGTCTTCGCATCGGCGACGGTCGGTGTTGTGGTATGGGCGGAACTGCTTGCGGTGTTTCTGGCGCGGCGGCCGCTCTGTGCTCGGCTATGGATGATAAGAGGTGCTGGTGGTGTTCGAGATCGTCCTGGAAGATGGGCATGGTTTGGTCGAGGTCTGAACCACAGCACGGCTGTGGTCCAGATCTGGAGTCGGGTTCGCAATGTTGGCGGCGGTCGAGAGGAAGCCGATCATGCCTCCCGCGTCGTCTGCTCTGCTTGTTGGTTTGTAGTTGTAGTTGTAGGTTGTATGGAGGAAAAGGTGGTGCGTCTTTGTCGGGTGATTTTGGTTTCGTGGTGTTAGTCACCAGGTTAATTATTCTTTAACAAACGGGACCCGGTTAGACGTCATAAAGCGCACCCCTTCGACCCAGTGACACTTCCGACTTCGCTCCCTGTCCCTGGCCGTAGGGTACTATCAGTGAGTATCTTAGGTTCTGAGTCAAGCAAGGGTACCGGTGGTTCTGGCGTGCTTCACTGGCGTTGTACGAGAAATGAGGCTGTCTAAGAAGAGAGACAGGACTGCACTAACGACGGTAGGACAACAAGGTAAAAGTATCCGTAAAGATAGAGACAGAGAATGAAGAGGTTGGAGTTGCGGTCAGTGACATGCAATGCAATCCATCCGAGTGAGCTAACCACCTGGGCACTACTCCGTACTGCTGGAGGGAACATGCAGCTGTCGTTCGTCGGGGCTGGCAGAGGCGGGCCCCAGCACACCAGTGCAGCGCAGGCCCGCAGGCGTGCTAAGGCAGGTCAGGTAAGGGCCTTGGGGGGGGGGGGCGGGACCCGCCGGGGGGCGCAGCGCGGGGGGGGGGGCGGGCGCCGGGGGGGGGGGCGGGGGCGCGAGCGCGGGGGGCCACCACCCGCCCGGGCCGGCGGGGGCGGGGGGGGGGTGGGGGGGGGGGGGGGGGGGGGGGGGGGGGGGGGGGGGGGGGAACCTCTAGGGTAGGTGGTCAGCTGCCCCAAGTCCGTCCCCAACTTTAGCGAGCAACGGCCATCCTCGCTCTGCCAGTCCGGTGAGCGATTCACTCCGTCAATGGACCGTCACTTGAGTTTCTTGGACCGATATGCCGACCCTTGCTTCATGCATCCGCCAGAGAATCCACCAGGACCAACATCGTCCCTCATCGTCCCCTTATCCGTCGTCAGATCCACCCTTGTTCTGCGCTGGCGTCGTCCCACTCGCGCGATGCGATTCACGTTTGCGTCGGTGTCCTGCCGTGCGTCTCATTCATGCCCGACATCCGCTGTAGCCATGAAATAAAAGATAACCTTCTCAACTATGGTGCAAGCTACAGACGAACAAAGGACAGTTTCTGGTTCCCGTATAAGCAGAACAGAAAGAGGGGAAACACAGAGGGAAAACATCGTTTTCGTTACGACGCTGACCAAATAATGTTGATCAATTCAATGGCTGAAACAGTAGGCAGAGTCTTGTTTTCTTAAACTCAACCAACGCCTTGACTCTATGCGTCTACCACGAATCCTGTTCCTGGGTTTCTACGTTTCCCGCTTTCGTATCCTTTCAGAGCATGCATTCCAAGCTTAGCCAAATGCCGGGACAGGTTTCGGACCCTTGGCCCCGCTCTAGACCTTCATCACCTCTCACATTAGTGACGATGGGCTTCATAGAAGATGGGTTAGAGTGAGTGCTACGGAGTACTCAAGACCCAGTGATCAAACAAATCTTGGCTGGTAGCTTGTCATTTATACTCTGATAAAGTCCTCGGACAGCTCTCATTATGGTAGATTTCTCACGACCCGTCAAACTCTCACAACCTTCTCTCCGCCAATTTCGCGCTGAATAACCCTCTCAGCTCGTACCTAGAACACCACGTCAAAAGTATTCTAGCGGAATACTGAGAGTTAGCAGCTGTAAGACTTTAAAAGTCGTTATTCAAAAGCCCTTCACCAAGAAATCTCGGCTCCTGACGACGACTGCGACATCACTAAATGGCCCTCACCAAATAACATCACGCATACGACATAGAGTTCGCCTTGGGGGTATCAAATTTTGGTATCAATTCTTGCGGTAACGTGTCGCTTTAGTGTCCGTTGGGACAATGTCGTGAGACGAATCCTCGTCCCAAACCTGCATCCTACTACTTGGAACGTATACAGGTAACTCTGTAGTCTACTTCGTCCTCTGCTCTCTTCCATACGACGAGCACCCCCTACTCAACTCCCCAGTCATCGTCATCCGCAACATCATAGTCCATATCCCGCTGCTGTTCCGGCTGCTGCTCCATCAGGTCACGTGCCGCCGACGATCCATTAGGTGCGGCGTTGCCCATGGCCATATCATGGTCAGACGCGCCCTGGGTCTTTGACGATGCGCCATTCTCAACAGTCTTGACGGGGGCCAGGGGCGTGGCGACCCACGACAGCTCGAGTTGGCCGTCGATGCCCGGGATCTCCTGCTTGGGGAGACCGTAAAAGAACTTCTCAGCCGTCTTGCGGTCCTTGAAGGTGACTTCGGTCTTGGACGGGGTGGTGTTGATGTCTGTGAATTCACCGACAGCAAGCAAATATTGCCGAAGCACCTCGTCCTTCTCAGACGAAGTAAAGTCCACACCCGTGACGGACACAGTCCGAGGACGGTTGTCGAGCGAGTACGCGGCGTAGGCGACGTGGACATCGCCTTGGTACCCGCCGCGGTATGATCCTCTTCCTCGAGGAGCGTAGCCACGGCCACGCGGGACGAAGCCGCCTCTGCCGCGACCCCGTCCGCGATAGCTCGCATGCCACGAGTTGGACGGTTCATCCGTCGCGCTCGGGTCGAGACCGAGGAGCTTAGCCTCGTCTTCGAGAGCCGCGAGCTGCGCGCGGAGCGCCGAATTCAACGAGCCCTCTTCTCCATTCTCCCCTCCATCGCCGTTCTTCGAGGCCAACTTAGCTTGAAGCTTCTGCTGAACCTCGCGGTGCTGGGCGAGAAGCTCGCGTTGCCGCTGCTCCAGTTCTTGGCGTTGCTTGTCTAGCTCTGCCTTCTTTTGCGCTTTTTCCTCGTGCTGCCGCTGGGCCTCTTCTTGCTTCTTCATAAACTCCTCAAGATCAATCTCCGGCTCAGCGTCTGGGTCTTCGCCATTGGCAGCAGCGCGTGCGGCAGCCTGCTCGCTCTCTTCGACGAACCAAAACACTCTGACAAAGCGGTTGTCAAAGATGACCTTGGGAGACCGGTACGCCGCATTGGCAGCATCCCACGTGTCATACGTGACAGTTGCGAGCCGCTTGTGAGGCTGCAGCGAGACCTCTTGAATATCGCCAAACTCGGAGAAGAACTTGCGGACTTCCTCCTCAGACAGGTACTCCTCGGGTATGTTCTCCACGACGATTGTCGTCTTCGTGGTATCCTCAACAGGGCCTTCAGCGGAAAAGGAGGCTCTGTTCTGACGCCGTTTGCCTCTAGTAGCACGGCGGTTCTTGCGGCCCTCGCGACTGGATCGCTCAGCGTTGAATGCCTCCATGAGCTGCTGCATTTGTTGGAAGTTTTGCGACATCATCATGGCCGCGTCTCGGGGATCAAAGTCTGTGCCATTATGTCAGTCTAAGACTCGTCCAACGATGTTCAATAACAAAAATGGTAAAGAATGTGTAGCTTTCAGTAGTCAACCTTATAAATTTTTTGTAAAGTCATCGCACGAATGCTCTGATGGATTACTCATCATGCTACGGGTTGGGTGTGATAGACGGAAAAGATGTTGAACTCACCATCGAATTTCTGAGGACCACTAGGACCGCTAGGCGGCAACCAGATGGGCTCGACGCCGTGGTCATACTGGCATGAGCTTCCCCGAGCGCAGTACCCCTTGGTCGCGAAGTCGCGGCATTTCTGCCTGTTTCTTCGTGGCCCTTGAGGCGGGGCGGCGCCCTGAGGATAGGCCGGTGGCATCTGAGGCATCCCGCGCCAGTTCTGGGGGCCAGTTGGTGCTCCTCGCGGGAAGTTTGGGTCGTACGGCGCCGCCGTAGCCGACAGCTGGAACGAGCCATCGGCAGGGAACGGCTGCGCAGAGTACCCTCCAGCACCCGAAGCCGTCGAGTCCCACTGACTCCGGCGAGGTTGCTTGTAAGCGCGCTCCTCGAAGCCCGCGTCCCGATCGCCCGAAGCGCCGGCGTCGCCCCTGTCATTGAATGAGCGCTTTCGCGAACCACCCTGAGACGGAAACTCCGGAGCCGCCGCGCGATTGTCTGCCTCTGTCAACCTTTTGGGCGGGGGAGGCGCGCCCGGGAGAAACGACTTGTACTCGATGACGCGAAACAGCTCATCAACAAATTCCGGCGCGGTGTCTGTGGTACGGTTTGTTAGCGAGAGCTTGAACGCGTCGTCATTGTTATCAGACTAACCTGTGTTGAGGAACTGCGGCAATTCGCTTTCGCATGCCGCACGAATGTGCGCAGCGTCGCCTTCCTGCGAGGCGAGAAGAGCAAGGACATAGTCGGCCAAGATGTCTGTCTCTGTATCAGATCTGGGAGTGGTCAGCAAGAGCAATTGCGAGGCAGCTGGCAGAGAGACGAACACTTCAGGCAGCTTGCTCAGGAGCCACGTCCTGAGCAAGGGCGCATCCTTCTCTGCTAGAAACATGGTCGTCGCGGTCAGGGTCGCGCCAGGTCATGGGATTGAAGAACACTAGTGTTGACGTATCAATAAGTCTGATACTCAAGTAATGTACGGACAGGTTGGAGTCATTGTTGTTGCTCGGCGGGAAGCCACGCGAACAAACAAAAATTTGCCCAGAAATGAGAGGTTGTTGAGAGAAGGAGCTTTGTCGGAACGAGGCTGAAAGCTTTTATTTGCAGAGCTCGCTAAGACGACCCACTTTAAACCTAAGTGGGATCCATGCGAGGGTCGGCGTCGCTGCTGCTGCCCGCTGCCGTTGCCCGCTGCAGATTTCAGTCTTGTCTCGGGAGGATATGGCACGGCGATCTGAGATTCAACAGACTCGTGTTACTTCATCACAGTACAGGCACAATGCAGCATTTACATATTGAACTTGTCTTCATTCGAGACTACGCGAAAGCTATGGAAAGAACGGGGTCATAATTTTTGATATCATCCACCAAACCCAGTTCGTCATAAATGCCCAAAAAGGCACAACGCCATTTTCTATTAACCCGTGGGAAAGGCGTTTACAACTTGTCGTAGTACTGCGATTCGTTAGCATTGATCAGTCATGGGGGTTTATGAGGGAAACTCACGTTCTCAACACCGGGAACCTCAACCTTGAGACCCTTGCGCTTACGCATCTCCTGGACGATCTGGCCGACCTTGGAGGTGCCGTCCAGAGGAGAGCCACCGGGCAGGGGCTGCCAGTGGTCAAAGACGGACTGGGGGAAGGCCTGTCCGGAGGTGGCCTGGCGCAGGTCACTGTTGAAGCCGAAGGACTCCATGACGGGCAGGTAGGCCTTGATGGTGAACAGGGGAGTACCGGGGCGCTGCTCCTCACCGAAGACGTGACCACGTCTGCGGGTAAGGACACCGTAGACACCACCCATGGCCTGCTCGGGCACCTGGATCTCGACCAAGAAGACGGGCTCGAGGAGAGCGGGCTCGGCGAGAAGGGCGGCGGCGTACAGGACACGGCGGGAGGTGGGGATGATCTGGCCACCACCACGGTGAATGGCATCGGCGTGGAGGGTGACATCCATGATGTTCCAGCGGACGGAACGCATGGGCTCCTCGGCAACGGGACCCTCGCGGGTGGCCCACTGGAAACCAGAGACGACGGAGTCCTTGATTTCGTTGAGGTACTGGACGGCCTTGGTCTGGTCGACGAGCAAGTTGGCACCGGTGGTGTCGGGGCCGAAGGTCCAGATCTTACGGGCGTCAGTGACATCCCAGCCGAAGTCGTCAGCGAGGACACGGGCGCGGGCCTTGAAATCGTCACGGGGGCTGATCTTGCCAGCCTCGATCTCCTTGGAGAGCTCCTCGTCAATGGGCTCAGCGATCATGTAGATACGGTTGTGCTTGTTGGGAGACTTGGAGAGAGCGGTGATGCTGGACTTGCCAACAACGGTCTCACGGTACTGGACGACGGGGTCGGAGATGATGAGGGGAACACCGGCGTGGTCGTTCATGAGATCGTTCAGGCAAATCTCCAAGTGGAGCTCACCGGCACCGGCGACAATGTGCTCACCAGACTCGGAGGTCATGGTCAGGACACAGGGGTCGGACTTGGAGAGACGCTTGAGACCCTCGACGAGCTTGGGGAGATCCTGGGCGTTCTTGACCTGGACGGAGCGCTGGACGACGGGGGAGACGGAGAACTTCATGACCTTGAGGTTGTGGGCGGTGTCGGAGGTGGTGAGGGTACCAGACTTGAGGAGGAACTGGTCAATACCAACGAGACCGACAATGTTACCGGCAGGCATGTCGTCGATGGCCTCGACCTTGCCACCCATCATGAGGACGGTACGCTGGATAGCCTTGATGAAGAGATCCTCCTTCTTGCCGGGGGTGTAGTTGGGGCCCTGGATGCGGACCTTGATACCGGACTTGACGGTACCGGCGAAGACACGACCGAAAGCGTAGAAGCGACCCTTGTCGGAGGTGGGAACCATCTTGGAGACGTAGAGCATGAGGGGACCCTTGGCATCGCAGTCGCGGATGGCAATGGCGGCCTCATCGTCGGGGGGACCCTCGTACAGAGTCTCGGCACGGTACTTCTGGGCGGTGACGGGGGAGGGGAGGTGGAGAATCATCATCTCGAGAAGGGCGTCGGCGGCGGGGAGGAAAGTGCGCATGACGGCCTTGAGGAGCTGCTTGCCCTCCTTCTCGCGGTCCTCAACGGGGAGCTTGAGGTCGAGCTTCTGGAGAAGGGTGGCGACCTCCTCCTTCTTGAAGTTCATGACGGCGGAGAAGATCTTGAAGATGGGGTCCAAGATGAACTGGTTGAAGGCACGCTCGAGCTGCTTGCCCTCGTGGGTGCTCTTGTTGGTCCACTTCTTGGTGTGGGGGTTGAAGTAGTTGTCGCCCCAGAGACGCTCCATCATCTTGTTGCGGTCGACACCAAACTTCTTTGCGTAGCGGACGGCGAACTGGCGGATGGTGAAGGCCCAGCCGTGAAGACCGGAACCGAAGGCGATGGTACCCTTGTCGGGGTAGACCTGGACGTCACCGAGCGACTTGTCAAAGTAGGTGGAGATGATGACGTTGACGGACTCGATGGTACGGGAGAAGGACTGGTAAAGGTCCTCCTTGGAGACCTGAAGCTCGAGAAGAGCACGGTCGACCTTGTTGATGATGACGACGGGCTTGATGCGCTCACCGAGGGCCTGACGCAGGACAGTCTCGGTCTGGACGCAGACACCCTCGACGGTGTCGACGACGACGAGAGCACCGTCAGTGACACGGAGAGCAGCAGTGACTTCGGAAGAGAAATCAACGTGACCGGGGGAGTCGATCAGGTTGATGAGGAAGTCGGTGCCGTCGGTCTTCTGGCCAACAATGTCCTTGACATCGTCGGGGTCGACGTTGTGGTACAGGGAGATGGCGGTAGACTTGATGGTAATACCACGCTCCTGCTCGTCGGCACGGGTATCCGTGGCTCTCGCGTCTCCGGCCTTGGCGGTGGAGATGATACCGGCCTTGGAGAGAAGGGAGTCGGTGAGGGTGGACTTTCCGTGATCGACGTGGGCAATGACGGACATGTTACGGACGTTGGTGGGCTTGTCCATGAGCCCACGGATCTCCTCGACGGTGAAGCTGTGGTAAGAGCATGGTTAGTATGGTGTTTGGCTGTGTGTGGGAGCTTAACTCCGAAGGAGAGTGAGGGGAGAAGGTCAAAGTGAGGTGAGGTGAGGTGAGGGGCGGGGTAGAGATGGGCGCTCAGCAAAGCTTTGCTGCAACGAGGCGGCAAAGTGTGCAGGCATTGCTCCATGATGGTGTTGATGATGATGATGAAGAGACATGTCGTGATGTTGCTCATGCCCAAGACTAGAGTAAGATGGGTTGTGATGAACTTACTTGACCATCTTGACGGCGGTGGCTCAGCGAGCTCTTTGAAATTTCTGTGTCGGGTGGGATGTGTAGAGTCGAAGTTGGGCGAAGCGGGGTTGAAGAATCTGCCCCGCGCTCACAGAGTGCTGAATCCTTTTCTCTGCTGGGAGAGAATGAAGGAAGACAGATGAAGATGTGAGGGTTGCCTCGAAAGGTTGAAAAGTCGACGGTTCCAGGAAACGACAGGGGAACTGATGAGCTCCTCTACCGATTCTTTTATCGTCGAAAAGAGGTGAATGGGATGGAGGGGGTAGAAGGGTAAAAAGGTGGGAGGGGGAAGGAATGGAAAAAAAAGGGAACCGGTGCGTCCTCGCCTTGCCTTGGCCGTGTGAGGCAGGCGGTTGCCCCGAGGGAAAGGTGAAAAAAAAAAAGTTAGTGACTGACTGGCCCGCCGGAAGGGAAAAAATGGGTAAGGTAGGTGGGGCACCAGCAAAAAAAGAGTGTGAGAGAAAAAAAAACCCCGCCACTCTCGAGGTCCCTCCTTCCTGGTTTTTTCGCCCTTCCCCTCTCCAACCACAGCATCTGCAAAGCATTTGGGCAGGCACGGCACACCTCACATGGGGCGTCTCCTTCCTGCCCCTCTTCTTACGCACTGTGGACGTACCTCTCGCCCTCTGGATCCCATCCAATGATCCACCTTCACCTTTACCACTTCGTTATTCGCAGACCTGTAGCCTCTTCTCTCACTGACAATCGTGGCGCCACTCACTTTGACTGCTTGTCACCTCTGCCGCAGTACGCATACAGTATTATCTTTTGCAAGGCAAGGAAGGTATGGGGTGCCACAGCAACAGCCTTCCAGCCTTTCGTCAGCACCTTGCACACTAGGAAACGCAGCAAGTATTTGCTCCAGACCTCTACTCGGGGCACTACACCCGGCCGGTCTGTGCAAGGAGGGGCAGTGTGCCAGGTGCCTTCCTTATGCGAGGGAAAGGGCAGTAACCCTCTCCTTCTCGCACCAGAATCGGTACCTCACCACTTGCGCAGTACACCCCCAAACACCCCCAGTTAGGTCGTCTCAACTGCTCTCCCATTCGAGCTGGACGCACATTTGACACACGCCTTGTTTGAATTAGACAAAGCTCCCGTCAGACCAAGGTACACGGCTACTGCTTCAAAGCTATCTTACCTTAGCTAAGCATTCCATGGTACTCGCAAGTGAGTGAAGAAACTCTACTGTAAGCTCAGCTCAAGAGGTCTGAGGGAAAGAGCTCTCCCTGCTTATCTAAACAATCAAAACTACCCCGCCTCGCTTGGCCTCTACCGTGCACTGCACTGTACCCAAAGCCAGCCCACCCTGGTGCACCGCAAAGATGGCGAGATCAACCATCACCACTCTCAAACCCGCCCCGCGTAGACGGCATGGCTGCGAATTGGGCTCTTCAGCACCCAATGACGGAGTCGGCGTTGGCCATGAATCCTCCCTACAAAGCTTACCTAGGTACTCTGCCCGCAGTGAGACGGTAGACCAAATCATCCGGGGTGGCGGAAGATCAGACACCCGGCCGGACTGGCTGATGTGCAGATTCTCGGTCAGCCTAATCGGGACGCCGTCATGGTACCCACACCTGCGACTGCCACTTCCCGACCGGACCACGACTCACCGGCATCCAAAGCCGCGAACCATATATCGGTCTGGCTCGTCCCGTCAAAGCAAACCTCGCCTCTCTACCTATCTTTCCTCAGGATGCTTATTTACACTTCTGCCTGTCACTGCATGCGCCTCATCCTATAGTGGGCTCGTCACTCACAAGTCCGGGTGTGTCAGTCGCCGTGGGAATAATATATGATGTTTTGATTATTAAGTCGATGCGTGAATGGTATCCCCCAATGTGCCGTAGTGATGCTCAAGGTCCAACGACCCAAATGCTAAACTCCTTTAACGCCGAAAACGATTGTCTGCCGAGTGACTCAACGCCGTGGCCCTTTGCGGCTTCGCCATCCCATCCTCAAGACCAAAGTCCCTTCATGACCCAAGAATCTTTGAATACGCATCCTCCACCTCCCCGGCCAACTCAAGCAACGCCACAATCACAATCTGGTGCGTCAGATTCGGCAACCGGTCCCTGTGAAGCCCGATCCACTCCAGCGGCGGCGTCGCCTCCCCCATGTCCCTCAACTGAGGCGTCTCGATAATCGGCGGCTCCAGCGCAACGTAGTCGTACTTGGACTGCGGAACGTTGACCTCGGCCGTGATCTTTTGCTGCTGCTGCGACGGTCCCCCGCCCGCCTGCCCGTCGCCTCCTTCTCCTCCCCCTTCCGTGTCGGCGTCCGGTACGCCCGTCACCTTGATCGCCGTGAGCGCCGCCGTGAGCGGGAGCTCTTTGCCCCACGTCTGCTCCAGCGATTTGGCGTGGCTCGCCCACATGCCGCGGATGTAGCTGATGCGCGAGTAGTTCCATCCCACCTCCACCTTGCCCTCGAACGCGCTCTTGAAGATGTAGTCGATGCGGTTGCGGTTCGGTGTCTGCCACGTCTGCATCACGGCGCCGACCTTGGGCACTTTGAGAATGGTTCCGCCGCGCGATCCCGTGGCTCGCTCGACAACGTCTTCCACGGAGATCTCGCTGAGCGTCTTGGGCGCTTCAATGTTCCTGACACCCGCGAGTCCGATCCGCAGCTGTCCGAGGGTGAGTGCCAAGATGCTGTGGACGCGCCGCTGCTCGATGCTGGCCGCGAATCGCGCTTCCGCGCCGAGAGCCTCCATCTTGAACACTTGATGATCCGAAAATGTGCTCGGGAACACGCCCAAGTTCAGTGCCTTAAGTGTAACAACAACATCTGTATCCAGCGAGATGGGTGCTTTCGACAGCGTGTCTTCGGCTGGAAGCTTTGGCGCGCTTGTGAGATGGGGAGACAAGGCGGCGCTTTGGTAGGATCTCCTCCTCATGAATTTCTCAATCTCTTGCAACGACATTTCAAAGTTGGCGCGCCTCTCCTGTATGAGTTTTTGGAACGCTTGGTAGAGCGATACGGCCTGTGCTGCCGACGTCGTGGTCCCAAAGATTTGCACAGCGTCTCCGTCAAAGATGGCGACGAGCCTATCACCGGTGCCTTCGAGACTGCGTCGAACATTGTACATGAGGAGCTCGAGAGATGTTATGTCGGCGACGAGGAACGCCTGGTAGTCAAAGGCGGCCTTCACCCTGAACTGGCTGAATCCAATGGATGCTTGTACCAGGGGCGTTTCGTTGAGCGCCGCCTCTCGCTCTGGCCACTGGATGGATGTCCGCAGCTGGAACTTTTGCAGTGCGATGAAGCCGCTCAACCGGCCTGTGCAGTCTATGCCAATCTTTTCGAAGCCCAGGCACAGGTTTTGCTCCCAGTCCGACGTCTTCTTTGACGAGACCCAGAACTCCTTGATGGCAAAGACCGACTTGCCAATGGCCTGACCCATGTCTACGCTGACATCAAGAGACGTAATCGAAATGGTCGCCGTCCAGGGGAACGCTGCTGTGGCGGCCACCTGCTGATATCTCTGCACCAAGTGGCCTTGTTGTGATGTTTCCGTGTTGAGTTTGGCGACCGGAGCCGTCGTGGTATTCCGCAGCTCCGTCGGGTACCAAATCTCGCGGAACAGCAAAAAGTCTTGAAGCTGCTTGGCGTTGATGGAGACGGTCATCGGGCTGACCTTGAGAATGGCAGACACGCCGCTCGTTCCGCTAACATGCTTGCTGTTCATCAGCGACAGCACGATCGAGTCGACGTCAAAGCTTCCTGTAGACTCTCGCGAATATACATGCTGGACGGACGCTTGCAGCTTGGAGAAGGCTCCCGAGATGGAAAAGAAGTTGCCTTGTTCCTGTGAGCGCACCGTGTTGACGGTGAAGTAGATATCGTCAAAGCAAGTCGTGGCAGCCACACGTGCAATGGGCTGACAGCTTAGCGAAAACTCCTGACGGCAGATGCGCAGTCCCAGGTTCAGCTTCAGACGTCCAATGACGGCGTTTGGATCAGCAGTGAGAATATTATCCTCATTGCCAGCCTTGGGCTTCGCCGCTGCCGCCGGAGTCTGGGCTGCCGCTGACGCAGGCGTATCCTTGTCCTTGCCCACGACTTCTTTGACGCTGGTTGTCATGTCCATGATGAGGGGCACCACAGACGGGTACAAGATGTTGCTCGAGGCGTCAATCTTGATCTCGCCGTACAAAGAAGGGTCTTCGTTTCCGTTGTCGCGATACTCAAACTTCCAGGCCAGACCTGGTGATCTGAGAACAGTGCTGCTTCCCGTGTCATCCGTGCTGAACTGACCATACTTGCCTGCCAATGAAGGCCGTCCGGTCCTGGAGCTCCCACGGAGTCCGTCTGTTGGCTTCTTTCCTGATACATAGACCACGGCACCCGAAAAGTCAGCGTCCACCAGCAGAGACTCTAGCCGTTTTGTGCCGAGTATGCTTCTCTGCGGTGGCGCCGGTTCCTTGATCTCGTCCACCTTTTCGACCTTGGGCGGTGCGGTCCCGGTAGTCCAGTTTTGAGACGCTCTCTGCACGTTCTGCATGGAAAGGCTGATGGAATCTTTGAGGATCGCAGCAGGAATGATGAAGCCCGAGGTCAGGCGCAGGTCGAGCGACTTGCCCACTGCCTGGAAGGCCAAGCTGCGGGTGTTTGGATTGGACACGTAGGCAATGTTGAAGACGACCTCGGGAAGCAGCGCCGAGTGAAGCGATCTGAGACTCTTGTCCTGGCCGGGAGGGACCATCTGGAGCTGGAAGTTTTCAATGGAGAGCCTGGCTGATTTGGTCTGGCGTGTCCCGAAGCTGACAAGCTGAACGGACAGAATGAGGTCTTCCTTGCTGCCCGCCAACGGTAGTAGCTCATCCGAGGGGTCGCCAACGAGCCAGGAAATCTGCGTGTCGCGCACCTCGAAGCGGTACACAATCGACGACAAGAACGAGTCAATGATGTCTGGTTCCTCTGCCTCTTCCTGATCATTAATGGCAATGCGAGGCCGAGTCTGTCGGATCTTGCGCAGGTA